TGAAATTATATACGACAAAAATTATAAAATGAAAACTCATTATAAAGTCATTTTTTGTAAGAAATTATTTAGCGACGAGTGTTTCTGATTTTTTCCAGGCCAATTACCAATTCCTTTGATGTCATTATGCTTGTGAAAATGAGATAAAATTAGATGAGACAAAAATTATAAAATAAAAACTCAAGTATTTCTGATTTTTTCCAGGTCAATTACCAATTTCTTTATGCTTGTGAAAATTAGATAAAATTAGATAAGACAAAAATTATAAGATCAAAACTCATTATAAAATCATTTTTTTGTAAGATTGTTTAACGGCAAGTGTTTCTGATTTTTTCAATTGGGGCTACAGTAGGGTGTTTCTGATCTTTTCAATTGGGGCTACAGAGAAAATATTGGAGTGAGAAAGATGAAAGAGAAAGAGTTGAGAGAAATGAGAGAGGTGAGTAAGGGTTTGAGGGTTTCTTTTTTTTTTTAGTTTTGAGAATGAAAATTATTAAAATACCCTTAACCTTAAAACTTAGAATCCATGGTATATAAGGATATTTTTGTCTACTAAAACCCGATACACATTGCTAAAATGTACCAACTGAAAAACAGGCGTACGCGCCAACAAACCCACATATATATATATATATATACACAAAGTTTGTTAACTTATGTAACTTCTTAAAAAGTACTAAACTTTTAATTAACAAAAATATCTTCGTTCTAAACTTTAAAATTAAGAATATTTAAATAATTTTTTATTTTTTTTAAATTAAAAATAAAAATTATTAAAATACTTCTATACTTAAAGTATATCTTTTTTTATTAATAAAATTCTTTTTATCAACTAAAATTTGGTATACTTTAATAAATTATATAAGTTATCCCTGTATATAAATACAAACCCCTGTATATAAATACAAATCATATTTCGGATGCAATCTCTTGCAACCAATCCCATTTCCTCTGTAGCAATTATGTTTAGCTTTTTCTGAAATTATATTAAATCACATCTATTTTCTCTCTAATTCTAAAATTAACATTCAGCTCCTTTATTCTTTAAAAAAATATATCAAAATTGAAGGACTTTTTTAAATGGAAATTAATACCCTTTTTCATGATAAAATAAGGGAGAAAATGTTAATTTATTAAAAACATAAAAAAACATTCAATAAAGTATAAGAGTGAAGAATATTTATTTTAAATGTAAACAAAATCAGTATAATAAGTTTGCAAACGTAATTTCGTCTTAAATTTAATAACTTTATAATTTATAACTATTTATGCATGCATGGGATCATATCACAAAATTACCCATTCATTTTGAAGTTATAATGATTCAATAGCAATATTGTTAAATAAACTACACCGAGCATTGTCCTAGTAAAATTATTCATAGAATAATGAGTCATAGTTTTCTTGTTCAACTATGATTGAATCAATAATTGTAAAATACTTGCTTAATATTATGTAATAAACCAAAAAACTATACAAAACTTAAATCATCTAAATTCTAAATATAAAAAACATCTTATTCTACAAGATAACAAAATAATCGAGCAATAATACATTCCCAAGTCCCATAACTTTTCATTTTAAAAATGTTCAAAATAAATTAATTTTCTGCCATTAATTTTTCCTAAATTTAGTTAACTCTGTAATTCATGTGGATGATCTAACCAATTATCGATTCAATAAATCAAATTGAGCAGTTCGATTCTTTTTCATTTCTTTATAAATTGTAAAATGTCAAATCTTAAATACATGTGTACACTTTCACATGGAGGAACACAGCTTTACAAAGCTTAATTCTGTCACAAACGAGAAAATATTGCTTCTGGTCTAACATTGGTTGGGTGGCATACCGGAAAAAAAAAATCACTTTTATGAACATTATTTTTTTTTATATGAACATTTTTTTAAACGGTAGGAGGCTAGAGATCATGACACCCAATTGAACAGCAAGAATTTTAATTTTGGGGTGGGGCAGTTAACTGGAATTTTAAACTTGCTATAGTTGAATTATCAGGCTCAAGTATGACTAGTACAATGGTACATGACGCTTTAGGAGGGAACAATGCTAAACTAAAGATTAGTTGTGAGAGACAAAAAAAAACATGCGATATCAAGTTACAGCACTTGGGGAGCGAGGGTTCTACCCATTTTTATATGAACTTTGAAAGGAAAGATTATTGTACATATCAAGTTCACTCAAATTGAGACCTACCAGTTTCACTTTGACCAATTGCTCCAGTGACGGAAAAGCTTTTTCATCCCCTCTACACAAGCAATGACAAAAAGATCACCCCGGGAGCATTAATTCAACAGTGTCAACATCATACGCATACAAGCAATCTTCGTTTTCCTCCCCAACTTAACCCCAAAAACAAAAAAACGTGTTCTTTTATAATATTCCTCAAGCATTGGAAATTAGCACATGGATTTAATTGATGGAGCAAAGAGTACAACGAGAGAATATGCAAAGGCACGGCTTATCTAGAAAGAACAATCTACTCAAGTTGACAACATGTTGAATTTGGCTCNATATATATATATGGGTTTGTTAACGCGCTTACGCCTGTTTTTCAGTTGGTACATTTTAGCAATGTGTACCGGATTTTAGTAAACAAAAATACCCTTATATATCATGGATTCTAAGTTTTAAGGTTAAGGGTATTTTTATAATTTTCATTCTCAAAACTTAAAAAAAAAAAAAAAGAAACCCCCAAACCCTCTCTCATTCCTCTCAATCCTTTCTCTTTCATCTCTCTCACTCCAACCTTTTCTCTGTCATTCCTACTGTAGCCCCAATTGAAAAAATCAGAAACACTTGCCTTTAAACAATTTGTCTTGGTAAAGAGTTGAGTCATTGACATATTCACCTTCAGGCAAAGGTTCATTCAAGATCTCATCAATTTCACCATCTTCACTAATTTCTCTAATTTCATCATCTGCATATGTTGAATCATCATCTCTAAAAAAACCCTCCAGGCCAATTACCAATTCTTTCGGATGTCATTATGCTTATGAAAATTAGATGAAATTATATACGACAAAAATTATAAAATGAAAACTCATTATAAAGTCATTTTTTGTAAGAAATTATTTAGCGACGAGTGTTTCTGATTTTTTCCAGGCCAATTACCAATTCCTTTGATGTCATTATGCTTGTGAAAATGAGATAAAATTAGATGAGACAAAAATTATAAAATAAAAACTCAAGTATTTCTGATTTTTTCCAGGTCAATTACCAATTTCTTTATGCTTGTGAAAATTAGATAAAATTAGATAAGACAAAAATTATAAGATCAAAACTCATTATAAAATCATTTTTTTGTAAGATTGTTTAACGGCAAGTGTTTCTGATTTTTTCAATTGGGGCTACAGTAGGGTGTTTCTGATCTTTTCAATTGGGGCTACAGAGAAAATATTGGAGTGAGAAAGATGAAAGAGAAAGAGTTGAGAGAAATGAGAGAGGTGAGTAAGGGTTTGAGGGTTTCTTTTTTTTTTTAGTTTTGAGAATGAAAATTATTAAAATACCCTTAACCTTAAAACTTAGAATCCATGGTATATAAGGATATTTTTGTCTACTAAAACCCGATACACATTGCTAAAATGTACCAACTGAAAAACAGGCGTACGCGCCAACAAACCCACATATATATATATATATATACACAAAGTTTGTTAACTTATGTAACTTCTTAAAAAGTACTAAACTTTTAATTAACAAAAATATCTTCGTTCTAAACTTTAAAATTAAGAATATTTAAATAATTTTTTATTTTTTTTAAATTAAAAATAAAAATTATTAAAATACTTCTATACTTAAAGTATATCTTTTTTTATTAATAAAATTATTTTTATCAACTAAAATTTGGTATACTTTAATAAATTATATAAGTTATCCCTGTATATAAATACAAACCCCTGTATATAAATACAAATCATATTTCGGATGCAATCTCTTGCAACCAATCCCATTTCCTCTGTAGCAATTATGTTTAGCTTTTTCTGAAATTATATTAAATCACATCTATTTTCTCTCTAATTCTAAAATTAACATTCAGCTCCTTTATTCTTTAAAAAAATATATCAAAATTGAAGGACTTTTTTAAATGGAAATTAATACCCTTTTTCATGATAAAATAAGGGAGAAAATGTTAATTTATTAAAAACATAAAAAAACATTCAATAAAGTATAAGAGTGAAGAATATTTATTTTAAATGTAAACAAAATCAGTATAATAAGTTTGCAAACGTAATTTCGTCTTAAATTTAATAACTTTATAATTTATAACTATTTATGCATGCATGGGATCATATCACAAAATTACCCATTCATTTTGAAGTTATAATGATTCAATAGCAATATTGTTAAATAAACTACACCGAGCATTGTCCTAGTAAAATTATTCATAGAATAAAGAGTCATAGTTTTCTTGTTCAACTATGATTGAATCAATAATTGTAAAATACTTGCTTAATATTATGTAATAAACCAAAAAACTATACAAAACTTAAATCATCTAAATTCTAAATATAAAAAACATCTTATTCTACAAGATAACAAAATAATCGAGCAATAATACATTCCCAAGTCCCATAACTTTTCATTTTAAAAATGTTCAAAATAAATTAATTTTCTGCCATTAATTTTTCCTAAATTTAGTTAACTCTGTAATTCATGTGGATGATCTAACCAATTATCGATTCAATAAATCAAATTGAGCAGTTCGATTCTTTTTCATTTCTTTATAAATTGTAAAATGTCAAATCTTAAATACATGTGTACACTTTCACATGGAGGAACACAGCTTTACAAAGCTTAATTCTGTCACAAACGAGAAAATATTGCTTCTGGTCTAACATTGGTTGGGTGGCATACCGGAAAAAAAAAAAAAATTTAATGAACATTATTTTTTTTTATATGAACATTTTTTTAAACGGTAGGAGGCTAGAGATCATGACACCCAATTGAACAGCAAGAATTTTAATTTTGGGGTGGGGCAGTTAACTGGAATTTTAAACTTGCTATAGTTGAATTATCAGGCTCAAGTATGACTAGTACAATGGTACATGACGCTTTAGGAGGGAACAATGCTAAACTAAAGATTAGTTGTGAGAGACAAAAAAAAACATGCGATATCAAGTTACAGCACTTGGGGAGCGAGGGTTCTACCCATTTTTATATGAACTTTGAAAGGAAAGATTATTGTACATATCAAGTTCACTCAAATTGAGACCTACCAGTTTCACTTTGACCAATTGCTCCAGTGACGGAAAAGCTTTTTCATCCCCTCTACACAAGCAATGACAAAAAGATCACCCCGGGAGCATTAATTCAACAGTGTCAACATCATACGCATACAAGCAATCTTCGTTTTCCTCCCCAACTTAACCCCAAAAACAAAAAAACGTGTTCTTTTATAATATTCCTCAAGCATTGGAAATTAGCACATGGATTTAATTGATGGAGCAAAGAGTACAACGAGAGAATATGCAAAGGCACGGCTTATCTAGAAAGAACAATCTACTCAAGTTGACAACATGTTGAATTTGGCTCTGGTTCTACAGTGGTAAGAGAATGAAATCTACGACCCAGGAGGATTAGACACGAAGCTGAGGTCTTCTGGCAACCAGTTCCAATCATTATAACAAACATGTTTTCAATCATGTCTAGTAAAATGCACAAAGAATAATCACTAACCAATAGCACAGCCCTTCATGATTCCACAGGAGAAAGGTATGATTGAATTCCAAAAACAATAAAAAGAATTCCGCCGGAGAGTGCAACCTGCAAATTATTGAGTACAACATTAAGATGACATAGACACTCGGCTTACCGCTCTACACCACAATTGGACACTACATCGCAAAAAGTGTTCTAATGGCTAGTAGTTATGCTGTACTATTTTTGTTCACATGTTGCACTTGTATCCACTTCATTATTCCATCAATTCTTATATACTCTTTTTCCTTGGTAGTCTGAAACTAATTTTAAATTATTTAAACTTGAGGTATGAGGACGATTTAAGATACGAAATACTGAATTTAAAATAAGTTCACAAAAAAAAATCAAGGTGAGGAAAAGAGATTGACACGAGCAGTAAAAATAAAAAGGATTATAAATTGTTACAATTTTTTCAGATATCCGAGAAGCTAAACTCTTCCCTCCAACAACAGCAGCAGAGGTGCACAGCGCTTGTCCCCTGTGAAAAAACAATTAACAATTATACTCCTCCCATTCAAAATTGCAGGACTTTAAGATTGTCACATATCCTAGCTTACATATTTATGCCTCCTAACAAACACTACGCGTTTGCAAGGGAAGTAAACATGTACGCAGAATTACAGCAACAAATCATTGAAATAAAATGTGCCATCACGACAACCCAAGGATAAGTAGCCAAAGATTCGAGGAAATAAGCTGATTCCAAAATAAAGAAAGAAAAATTACAAGCCAAAACTTACAGAATCCCCCCGAGAACAACACCAAATGGATTCTCATCTGCAGCCAAACCTATGGTAGCCAGCTGAACAAGAAAAAAGAGTTATGCTTATTGAAGTGATTAAGCAGTCTCCATTCTCCAATAAAGGAGCTTATTCAGTATACTAACCTGGCTCTTGTCACCCCATTCACCAAAAAAAGTGATAGAAAATGCCTGCATAATAGGGATGATAAAGGGAATCAAATTTAACCTAGTTCGGTGTTCAATTGCAGAATGTATAAGGATGCTACGATTAATAGTTTATCACCCAGTTCAGTTTTCAACAACATACTGTACAGAGGTACCACCATTAATATTGTATTACCTGTAGAAAGATAGGAGAGAAAAACTGAGATAAAAATGACCGCTGCTGCTTTTTAGCGACATCATCAACCTGGGAAATGAGGCATGGTATATACAATATCAGAACAACAAATGTATAGCATTTGAGAATTCTGTTTTATTTTAATATCATAATCAACAAGAGACTGGCAATAAGTTGCATAAATTGAGTCCTTAAAACAGGAGTCATCCAAATTTCAAATTTTGCTGTTGAAACTTTGCCTGCAAGATGTTATGTGCCTTACCTCATCTGATATTGAACATTTATAAAGCAATTCATTCAAAATCAATTCATTAAGAGCCTCTTTCCTGGATTATGTAGTAATAGTTGAAAATTCAAACTTCCAAGTATCTATCAACCACTTGATAATCATAAGAGTTATAAAGTAAATAAAATATATTCTATTAAATAAATACATTGGGGGTAGCTTACTCGGGATTTATGAATGTAGTTTGTAACCTCCTATGAGCTCTTTTTTAGCTTATTTTCGTGAAGTAGTAAAAATAAGTTTTTTTTGGCTTGTATCAGTAAGCTTCAGAGGCAAACTTATGAATATGCTCTCTATTAGACAATATCTTATTGCATAAATGTTCAACTGTGATATGATCATGCATGCCTTAAAATCAAAAGGGAATGACATGAGAGACAGAAAATAAGGAAATGGAAATTTTATAAAACAGATATTATCTTACCTTTTTGCTATTTTTTGCAGCTCCATTGTTAGCCTTCCAATCTTTATCCTAATAACAGTACAAGCGTGCTATCAAGAAGACAATAAAAAGTCAACCTAAAATAAGAAACCAAAAATAGAGGTAAAATTATTAACCAATTTAGCTTCAACTTCAGCCAATTCTTCAGCATCCCTGTCCATCAAATAAAATCATTAAGCACAAGTCAAGATTCAAGCTTATTGTGAATAGAAAAGGGTGAGCAAGTTGATGTGATGGACAGATAATAATCACCCTTGTTCAAATAATGCATCTTTCAAGGACCAAAGCCCAAACCCCAAGAATAACAATGTAGTAATGTGATGAGTCCAAGTACGGGAAATCTGCAGAATTATATGAAGATCACTAAAGGCAGAAATCAAGGAAGAAGAGTAATTTAGCCAAACATGAGTTAGATAACACCCGTCTATTTGCCAAATATCTATTCTCAATACATTCAATATATTAATCAATGGACTGATACCATGGCACATCCTAAGAAATCTATAGGAATAAAAAAACAGTGATTGGAATTGTAAAGCGAGACCAGAAACAAAGAATACTCACCAGATTAGGAGCAGCCCAGCCAACAAGAGCAGACAGAATGGTCATCACCTAGTATTTTCAAAATTAACACAGAATCATGAAACTCAAAAAGGAGGAAGAATAAAAGACCTATATCATACAATAGACAAATTATCTAACCATCAAAAAAGATAATACAGTGCAGTAAAAAATAAAGGAGAAAGGAGAAAAGAAGCTTACAATCAAAGATGATAAGCAACCTGATAAGACTAGACGTCGTGGGTGCCTCATAGCCAATATCTTGGATAAGCATCATAATATGAAACAGTCAGAGTCCTAATTAATTTCTAGTAGCAAAATTAGAAAAACAATTATAAAGGTCCTTTCTTCTCTGTGTGGAACTATGCAACGAGATAACAAATAAATAACACTAGTCATCTCTTCAAACACACTACACAAAACATGGCTCCCACGTGAGTTTGCCAGCCAGAGCAGTGAAGAATGTTTTACTCAAATCCAATTAACGGCGGAAACAACCGAATACATATTTGCATATTCACAAATACTCTAAAAAAAGATAATAACAATAAACAGAAAAGATTATATGTCAGTTGGTCCAGTCCAGAACACCACTCCAGTAGTCAAGACACGCTGGCTCTCATAAACCAACCAATTAATCCGGTGCAGCCGATAACAAGATCTACAGACGAATAGAAAAATGTAGAACAGGGCTAAAAATACTTCATTAAAAAGGTAGAAACTAACCGCAGCAGCAAAAAATGTTTTGTCGCCGATCTCCGATAGAATAGTCATGGCCAAGGACTTCGTGAAACCCTAATGAAAGAGAAAAACACAAAGAATAGGATTAATGTTGATGAAATCGAAAATTGAGAGAAGAGAACATTGTATGAAAATAGAAAGGGAAAACACCTGAACGATTGAACTCATGTTGGCCGAGCTAAGAAGAAGGACTCAGAGAGAATTGAAGACTGTGTTGTGTTGTGTAGTTGGTTGAAGTGAAAGTCGCCTGAAACGGAAGGTAGAAGGAAGGTGACAAAAGCTCAGAGTGACATGTGCGCGTGTGAGTGCGTTCCCTTTAAAAAAAAATGTATTTTTTTGCACAGCATGGAATTCAATTCCCTTCTATCTTGATAAAAAAAGAAAATAACCATAGATGCTTCTCTTTTTACATTTTTCTATTTCTAAAGACTGCGTTTTGTTTAAGTTTTGATTCTGTTCAAAAGATGCCTTTTACTTCAAAATTATAACATTTTAAAAATAATTGGAAGGTTTTTGTTTTAAGAAATTAAATTGGGTGTTTTCTTTTAAAGACAATATATAAATTGATTTACTGTTACAAAATCAATTTTTCTATTTCTACAGACTGCGTTTTATTTAAGTTTCTACTGTGTTCAAAAAATGCCTTTTACTTCAAAATTATAACAATTTTAGAATGAGTGGAAAGTTTTTTTTTTAAAAGAAATTAAAATGGGTGTTTTGTTTTAAACAAAATATATAAATTCATTTTAGTGTTACAAAATCTTGAAAAGTTGTTTCCATTGTTCTCATGGAGAATAGTTTCTATCATTATAAAAAATAGAAAAAGAAGGGTTTAAGTAAGTTTGTTTTGTGGCGAGCAATAAATCGCTATAATAAAAACAAATAAATGCATCCCACGAACTATTTTTCAGTGGCACGTGGTTGCAACGAGGCATTTTAACAACTTAAAAAAAATAATTTTGTCCTTTCTCTTTTGTGATTTGTTGTTCAGAACAAATAAATCAATGAATATGTTACTGTGTGTTATTTGTACTGAGAACACTGATAGAACAATAAGAAAGAACAATGTGAAAGACAATATCATTTAAGATTTGATTATTGCATTCTGATATAAATTATAATAACAACTTTTTTATTTGCGTAAACTGGAAATTCCACTTCCTGCTTGTATCCCGTATTTATCAGCTAACCTTAGTTTATTTTTCTACCATCTGTCTGCTACAAAATACCTCTTGGTTTCAAGGGATTGTATTTAGAGAGTCGAANGAGTCATAGTTTTCTTGTTCAACTATGATTGAATCAATAATTGTAAAATACTTGCTTAATATTATGTAATAAACCAAAAAACTATACAAAACTTAAATCATCTAAATTCTAAATATAAAAAACATCTTATTCTACAAGATAACAAAATAATCGAGCAATAATACATTCCCAAGTCCCATAACTTTTCATTTTAAAAATGTTCAAAATAAATTAATTTTCTGCCATTAATTTTTCCTAAATTTAGTTAACTCTGTAATTCATGTGGATGATCTAACCAATTATCGATTCAATAAATCAAATTGAGCAGTTCGATTCTTTTTCATTTCTTTATAAATTGTAAAATGTCAAATCTTAAATACATGTGTACACTTTCACATGGAGGAACACAGCTTTACAAAGCTTAATTCTGTCACAAACGAGAAAATATTGCTTCTGGTCTAACATTGGTTGGGTGGCATACCGGAAAAAAAAAAAAAATTTAATGAACATTATTTTTTTTTATATGAACATTTTTTTAAACGGTAGGAGGCTAGAGATCATGACACCCAATTGAACAGCAAGAATTTTAATTTTGGGGTGGGGCAGTTAACTGGAATTTTAAACTTGCTATAGTTGAATTATCAGGCTCAAGTATGACTAGTACAATGGTACATGACGCTTTAGGAGGGAACAATGCTAAACTAAAGATTAGTTGTGAGAGACAAAAAAAAACATGCGATATCAAGTTACAGCACTTGGGGAGCGAGGGTTCTACCCATTTTTATATGAACTTTGAAAGGAAAGATTATTGTACATATCAAGTTCACTCAAATTGAGACCTACCAGTTTCACTTTGACCAATTGCTCCAGTGACGGAAAAGCTTTTTCATCCCCTCTACACAAGCAATGACAAAAAGATCACCCCGGGAGCATTAATTCAACAGTGTCAACATCATACGCATACAAGCAATCTTCGTTTTCCTCCCCAACTTAACCCCAAAAACAAAAAAACGTGTTCTTTTATAATATTCCTCAAGCATTGGAAATTAGCACATGGATTTAATTGATGGAGCAAAGAGTACAACGAGAGAATATGAAAAAGCACGGCTTATCTAGAAAGAACAATCTACTCAAGTTGACAACATGTTGAATTTGGCTCTGGTTCTACAGTGGTAAGAGAATGAAATCTACGACCCAGGAGGATTAGACACGAAGCTGAGGTCTTCAGGCAACCAGTTCCAATCATTATAACAAACATGTTTTCAATCATGTCTAGTAAAATGCACAAAGAATAATCACTAACCAATAGCACAGCCCTTCATGATTCCACAGGAGAAAGGTATGATTGAATTCCAAAAACAATAAAAAGAATTCCGCCGGAGAGTGCAACCTGCAAATTATTGAGTACAACATTAAGATGACATAGAAACTCGGCTTACCGCTCTACACCACAATTGGACACTACATCGCAAAAAGTGTTCTAATGGCTAGTAGTTATGCTGTACTATTTTTGTTCACATGTTGCACTTGTATCCACTTCATTATTCCATCAATTCTTATATACTCTTTTTCCTTGGTAGTCTGAAACTAATTTTAAATTATTTAAACTTGAGGTATGAGGACGATTTAAGATACGAAATAATGAATTTAAAATAAGTTCACAAAAAAAAATCAAGGTGAGGAAAAGAGATTGACACGAGCAGTAAAAATAAAAAGGATTATAAATTGTTACAATTTTTTCAGATATCCGAGAAGCTAAACTCTTCCCTCCAACAACAGCAGCAGAGGTGCACAGCACTTGTCCCCTGTGAAAAAACAATTAACAATTATACTCCTCCCATTCAAAATTGCAGGACTTTAAGATTGTCACATATCCTAGCTTACATATTTATGCCTCCTAACAAACACTACGCGTTTGCAAGGGAAGTAAACATGTACGCAGAATTACAGCAACAAATCATTGAAATAAAATGTGCCATCACGACAACCCAAGGATAAGTAGCCAAAGATTCGAGGAAATAAGCTGATTCCAAAATAAAGAAAGAAAAATTACAAGCCAAAACTTACAGAATCCCCCCGAGAACAACACCAAATGGATTCTCATCTGCAGCCAAACCTATGGTAGCCAGCTGAACAAGAAAAAAGAGTTATGCTTATTGAAGTGATTAAGCAGTCTCCATTCTCCAATAAAGGAGCTTATTCAGTATACTAACCTGGCTCTTGTCACCCCATTCACCAAAAAAAGTGATAGAAAATGCCTGCATAATAGGGATGATAAAGGGAATCAAATTTAACCTAGTTCGGTGTTCAATTGCAGAATGTATAAGGATGCTACGATTAATAGTTTATCACCCAGTTCAGTTTTCAACAACATACTGTACAGAGGTACCACCATTAATATTGTATTACCTGTAGAAAGATAGGAGAGAAAAACTGAGATAAAAATGACCGCTGCTGCTTTTTAGCGACATCATCAACCTGGGAAATGAGGCATGGTATATACAATATCAGAACAACAAATGTATAGCATTTGAGAATTCTGTTTTATTTTAATATCATAATCAACAAGAGACTGGCAATAAGTTGCATAAATTAAGTCCTTAAAACAGGAGTCATCCAAATTTCAAATTTTGCTGTTGAAACTTTGCCTGCAAGATGTTATGTGCCTTACCTCATCTGATATTGAACATTTATAAAGCAATTCATTCAAAATCAATTCATTAAGAGCCTCTTTCCTGGATTATGTAGTAATAGTTGAAAATTCAAACTTCCAAGTATCTATCAACCACTTGATAATCATAAGAGTTATAAAGTAAATAAAATATATTCTATTAAATAAATACATTGGGGGTAGCTTACTCGGGATTTATGAATGTAGTTTGTAACCTCCTATGAGCTCTTTTTTAGCTTATTTTCGTGAAGTAGTAAAAATAAGTTTTTTTTGGCTTGTATCAGTAAGCTTCAGAGGCAAACTTATGAATATGCTCTCTATTAGACAATATCTTATTGCATAAATGTTCAACTGTGATATGATCATGCATGCCTTAAAATCAAAAGGGAATGACATGAGAGACAGAAAATAAGGAAATGAAAATTTTATAAAACAGATATTATCTTACCTTTTTGCTATTTTTTGCAGCTCCATTGTTAGCCTTCCAATCTTTATCCTAATAACAGTACAAGCGTGCTATCAAGAAGACAATAAAAAGTCAACCTAAAATAAGAAACCAAAAATAGAGGTAAAATTATTAACCAATTTAGCTTCAACTTCAGCCAATTCTTCAGCATCCCTGTCCATCAAATAAAATCATTAAGCACAAGTCAAGATTCAAGCTTATTGTGAATAGAAAAGGGTGAGCAAGTTGATGTGATGGACAGATAATAATCACCCTTGTTCAAATAATGCATCTTTAAAGGACCAAAGCCCAAACCCCAAGAATAACAATGTAGTAATGTGATGAGTCCAAGTACGGGAAATCTGCAGAATTATATGAAGATCACTAAAGGCAGAAATCAAGGAAGAAGAGTAATTTAGCCAAACATGAGTTAGATAACACCCGTCTATTTGCCAAATATCTATTCTCAATACATTCAATATATTAATCAATGGACTGATACCATGGCACATCCTAAGAAATCTATAGGAATAAAAAAACAGTGATTGGAATTGTAAAGCGAGACCAGAAACAAAGAATACTCACCAGATTAGGAGCAGCCCAGCCAACAAGAGCAGACAGAATGGTCATCACCTAGTATTTTCAAAATTAACACAGAATCATGAAACTCAAAAAGGAGGAAGAATAAAAGACCTATATCATACAATAGACAAATTATCTAACCATCAAAAAAGATAATACAGTGCAGTAAAAAATAAAGGAGAAAGGAGAAAAGAAGCTTACAATCAAAGATGATAAGCAACCTGATAAGACTAGACGTCGTGGGTGACTCATAGCCAATATCTTGGATAAGCATCATAATATGAAACAGTCAGAGTCCTAATTAATTTCTAGTAGCAAAATTAGAAAAACAATTATAAAGGTCCTTTCTTCTCTGTGTGGAACTATGCAACGAGATAACAAATAAATAACACTAGTCATCTCTTCAAACACACTACACAAAACATGGCTCCCACGTGAGTTTGCCAGCCAGAGCAGTGAAGAATGTTTTACTCAAATCCAATTAACGGCGGAAACAACCGAATACATATTTGCATATTCACAAATACTCTAAAAAAAGATAATAACAATAAACAGAAAAGATTATATGTCAGTTGGTCCAGTCCAGAACACCACTCCAGTAGTCAAGACACGCTGGCTCTCATAAACCAACCAATTAATCCGGTGCAGCCGATAACAAGATCTACAGACGAATAGAAAAATGTAGAACAGGGCTAAAAATACTTCATTAAAAAGGTAGAAACTAACCGCAGCAGCAAAAAATGTTTTGTCGCCGATCTCCGATAGAATAGTCATGGCCAAGGACTTCGTGAAACCCTAATGAAAGAGAAAAACACAAAGAATAGGATTAATGTTGATGAAATCGAAAATTGAGAGAAGAGAACATTGTATGAAAATAGAAAGGGAAAACACCTGAACGATTGAACTCATGTTGGCCGAGCTAAGAAGAAGGACTCAGAGAGAATTGAAGACTGTGTTGTGTTGTGTAGTTGGTTGAAGTGAAAGTCGCCTGAAACGGAAGGTAGAAGGAAGGTGACAAAAGCTCAGAGTGACATGTGCGCGTGTGAGTGCGTTCCCTTTAAAAAAAAATGTATTTTTTTGCACAGCATGGAATTCAATTCCCTTCTATCTTGATAAAAAAAGAAAATAACCATAGATGCTTCTCTTTTTACATTTTTCTATTTCTAAAGACTGCGTTTTGTTTAAGTTTTGATTCTGTTCAAAAGATGCCTTTTACTTCAAAATTATAACATTTTAAAAATAATTGGAAGGTTTTTGTTTTAAGAAATTAAATTGGGTGTTTTCTTTTAAAGACAATATATAAATTGATTTACTGTTACAAAATCAATTTTTCTATTTCTACAGACTGCGTTTTATTTAAGTTTCTACTGTGTTCAAAAAATGCCTTTTACTTCAAAATTATAACAATTTTAGAATGAGTGGAAAGTTTTTTTTTTAAAAGAAATTAAAATGGGTGTTTTGTTTTAAACAAAATATATAAATTCATTTTAGTGTTACAAAATCTTGAAAAGTTGTTTCCATTGTTCTCATGGAGAATAGTTTCTATCATTATAAAAAATAGAAAAAGAAGGGTTTAAGTAAGTTTGTTTTGTGGCGAGCAATAAATCGCTATAATAAAAACAAATAAATGCATCCCACGAACTATTTTTCAGTGGCACGTGGTTGCAACGAGGCATTTTAACAACTTAAAAAAAATAATTTTGTCCTTTCTCTTTTGTGATTTGTTGTTCAGAACAAATAAATCAATGAATATGTTACTGTGTGTTATTTGTACTGAGAACACTGATAGAACAATAAGAAAGAACAATGTGAAAGACAATATCATTTAAGATTTGATTATTGCATTCTGATATAAATTATAATAACAACTTTTTTATTTGCGTAAACTGGAAATTCCACTTCCTGCTTGTATCCCGTATTTATCAGCTAACCTTAGTTTATTTTTCTACCATCTGTCTGCTACAAAATACCTCTTGGTTTCAAGGGATTGTATTTAGAGAGTCGAAAATATATTGTAAAAAGTCTTTTTCCACTATTATCCTTTAATCTCTTTTTTTTATGTTCACATCTTTTACAAAATGACATTGTGATATGTATAAAAGATTATCCATTTATCTGAGTTAAAGATTTTGTTCAAGATACAATTAATACAAAAAGTAAAATCAAATATTATTTAATCTAGTTTATTATGTTTTTCTCGACTTTTACTAAATGGATATTGTGATATGTGTAGAAGATTCTCCATTAATCTGAGTTAAGGATTTTGGTCAAAATATAATTAATGTAAAAAGTAAAGTCAAACATCGATAAAAGTTTTGATATAAATATTTTGTTAATTGTGGGTCTTTATCGAGATAAATCTCAATTATATATTCATTGATCTAATAGCTATATTACATGCGGTGATATGTAACAAGTTTTAGGTGATATGTAACAAGTTTTAGCTAAGTTTCATGGTTTATTGTGATATGTAATAAGTGATGTCAGTAATTTAAGTGTGAGTCCAATGGATAGAGATAAGAAAATATAGCGCACTATATAAAGATGAAAAACTCATTAACGTATTGTCTTAAGATTTTGAATAAATAGTAGTATTGATCTCTCATGTGATTGATTTTAGGTATTATTGATATTATATATCTCCTTTCTCTCTGATAGACCAAACTCTAATATTATAAAGGTGAGAGGATATATGTTAATTTTTAGTAAATAGTCTCTAATATTTAGTAAATGGTTAATTACTATATATTACATAATTAAAATGTAATATATTTTTAATAAAATATATAATATCAAGTATCTATGTTTGATTAATCAATTATTTTTATATAATAATTGATAGCACTTTAAACATACATTATATACAAAATGATTTACAAACTTGCGTATAATATTATTATCTAGGAAAGTTATAAATAAAACATTTAGAGATATTGTCTTATTACCATCTTGTAATGAATATTTTAAAAATTATATTTAAGGTATTTTACAAGTTGTTAATCATGTAAGAAAATTACAGTGACAATGTACCAAAAAAGTTAATTAAAAAATAGCAAAAAAAGGTATCTTGTCTTGTCTTCCATGTTTAACTTTTGAAGTTTATTTTAATGCTTAAAAAAACAAAGTGTCTGTTTGCGTTTGTAAATGATACTAAAAAAAGAAATGGATAATATTCAACCTCAAAACCACTTTTTATTTGTTCCTTATGAATAGAGAGTTGAGGATCACAAAAAAGTTTAGGATACCCTGCTCAGATAAAACCAGTTTTGGAAGCTTCTCATTTTGATTTTCTTCAAAGAGAAAAGTACTTCTGCACCATCTTATATAATTTTAATAATTATTATATTTCTATCTAAAATTTTTAACCGGGTGTGTTCAAGGATGAATATGAAAAAGAGTGATTTGATTGAATTTAGATGGATTTGAATGATTTTTTTTTTTTTAAATATTTGGAGGTAAAGTGATGGATTTAAGAATGAGGGATTTAACTTACACATGAGTTAAAAAGAAATTAATGAATTAAAAATATATTATTATTGTTTTACCTTTGTAATTAAAATTAATATATTATATTATTTAATGAATAATAATAACAATAATAATTATATTAATAATTATTATTTATAATAATATTTCTATATTATTATTGCAACTATTGTTAATATTATATTTATAACAATAATTAAGATTTATTATTAGAGTTATTATAAAAGAACAGTATATAAAATCAAAAGTTCACATTTTATAGAATTCTATTAAATTGATAATAAAATTTCACAATAATAATATTAACATAATAGTTATTATAAATGTAATTTTTAGATTAAATATATTTTTGGTTATGTAAAAAATTGAATTACTTACTTTTCAAAACTTTGACGTAGATTTGATTCTTTTAATATAATTTTATTATGTTTATTTGACTTAACGTGTTTCATGATATTATTTTTGAAAAAGTGTTAAATACTGTTAGAAATGTTAAATAAATTAAATAAAATTATATTAAAAATAATAAATTCACGTATTTTTAAGGATAGAAATTAGATCAAAACTAATTTTAATTTTCATTTAAAGTTAATAGACTAAAATCATATTTAATTTTTATTTTTTTAATTGATATTAAATTTATTAATATTAATTTATAATAATTATTATTGCTATTAATATTATGATTATTATTGTTCACTTTTGTAATAATTTTTTGACAATTAATTGCATTACTGTAGGTGTATTGAATTTTAGTGGTCTACATACATATAAACTTTATTCATAAAGTGTTTTAGGTGAGATAGAAGCATAATACCAAATTAATCGTATTGAAGTAAATGGTACCTTGAATTAACTAGTAGTCATAAATAACACTGTCCTAATACAGAGAATTTGTTCCTTAGGGAATCCATTGCTACCACAAATACAAACACAAGATGTTTTCAGGAAATCAATTTTCAATCTTTTAAAAACTAACAAAATCAAATCCATTTTCAGGACAATCGATTCTCCACTTCAAGCAAACTGCAAAGTGTTTCTCCTTTGACTACAAAGCATAAGAATGAATGTGAATACATCCATTTTGGATGCACAGATAAAAGCATAAGAATAATAAGCTATAATTTCAAAAAAGATTACGGTTATTTACGTAAAATCATGATTAATGACATGTCTTTTGTAATAAAAATGGTAATCTTATATAAAAATACGAGGTTTGTTTTTATCACTGACAAAAAAAATACGTAAAAACAAAAACTTATGCCTAAGTTGTGTTTCATCTATAATATGATGTTTATGTATGAGTTTGAACATGAAATCCTATTTTAAAAGATAATGATAATAACACTATATACGTGTTATTTTGTGATTGGTTTATGTTGGTGTCTATAATTATTATTATTATTGATTGTGGAATAATTTTGAACCAGTCACAAAATGACATGTAAATAATGTTAAAATGTTATCAAAAAAATATTGTCAAAGTATCATTATCCATCTCAAAATACCACTTTTACCTCTTAGTCACAAATAAAAAAAAAGTTTTTTTCCTGGAAAAATAAATATTCATCCGAAAAGTCAAGTTCCATGAAAATCACGTGAGGGCACAGGCATAGGCATTAAAAAACAGAGAAGATGAGGTGATGATGTAATTGGGCACTCTCATAACTAAAAGAAAAAGCTAACAACTACCATACACTAATATAAGACAATTGATTACCTTTCAATGGAAAGAGATATCTCCCATTTGGAGATTTCTAATCTCGCTTTGTTTTTTTATTCCTTGAAAGTCGGAGATACATAAATGAACAATTAGGTGAAGATTGACACAATAAAAAAACAATGTCAATGAATTCGTTATTGTGTTCAAAATACAAGTAATTAAATTCTTAATCCAGCTTCTGTTTTCACATTTGTACCGGCATATCTCCTTCTAAAACAATCGAGAATATAGTTTTTTTTTCTACACCGACAAAGCTTAGTATTATTTGAAATTCCAATGTTAAATATGTTTTTAGATAAATAGTGATTTAAATATAAAAAATATTGATATGTTTCATTTTTTAATACAATAAAAATTTCATTTTAATAAAATAATTTTAATTTCATTTCTTCAGTGTTTTATTTGGTCGATTATCAACGTGGTCGAACATGTGTTTTTCCTAGATTAATAACCATGTGTGTATGTTAAACATTAATGAATTATTAATGATTTTAAATTTACAAAATAAAAAAAACGGTAACAAAATTTCTTTAAATCAGCGATAATAACAAAAAATTAATATGTATTCAATTATTTAAAATAATAATAAAATTCAAATAAAATTACAATTTTTATATTAAAATTGTTAAAATTGTGACTATTTTCTTATTATGTGTATTGTCTTATCTACTGTTGTTGACAAAATGAGTGAAAATAAGTATGTTAATTTTTATTATGATAATAAAATATAATAAAATTATAAATATTATTATGAAATTAAACATAAATATTTGTATAATTTTTATTTATTTTATAGGTATTTTTATGATCAAAAAAAGTTGTTAGGTTTAGAAGAACGACTGAATTAAAAATTACAGTTAAATTAAAAAAAAAC